CGCTGCAACGCGCGCCAAGTGCTGTATAGCGAGCGCGCGCGTGTACGCACGCACGCACGCACGCACACACACTGGCGATCACGCGAGTTCGTTGCAGCTCCCTAACAAACACAATATACCTTGATAACTTTGATGGGGGATCGGCTACGGTACCTGTATCCAGTATCTTTAAAATGACTTCAACCAAACTGACGTTAATTGAATCGGTAATTAATTTAGGTAGCATCCCTATAAGCGCAAAATGTTCCTAGAATGTTATATGAATATTATTAAAAAAAATTAAAATAATGTTATTATAATATTTCGAAAATATAAATATTTTTTTAATATTACAGGAGTATTCTATAGAGGTTATATGTCCACTTATATAATAAACCTAGGTATTATATTTTAATATTCCTGAAACATTATTAAAATATTAATAAATATTAATTATTTTTAATTTTGTGCAATTTGAATTCACAATCCAGTAACGAAAAGTTCTTATCAGTCTATGCTGCAAAAAAATTAAAGTAAATGCTGTTATAATACTTTCTAATGTTTATACGATATTACAGTAACATTAAATAAATGTTACTTTTAATAATCATATAATATTATTAGGAGTGGACATATAACCATCCATTATTTCAGGAATATTATTTAATAATATATAATTTTAGTAAACTATTATTAAAATGTTATATTTAATATTCTGAGAATATGCCTAAAATATTATTTAATATTAAATAATATTATGCGCTTATAGGGATTCGTATTATTTTATCAACATGGATTATTAAAATTATTAGAAAATTCCGATATTGATACACCACTTCGTATTTGAACAATATTTCTTGAACAAAGAGGCTAAATATAATTTTTAAAAACAAATACAATTCAGAAAACCTTGTATCAGACAATACAGAAATTTTTATGATACTTTTTGAAATTTTGCAATAATAAACTTTTTCGTAAAATAAACGAAAATGAGCGCATGACAAAATGGATCTCAAAACTGACACAGTATAAAGGCAGTAATGTCATACACATATTCCTATTCTTTTTCTTTTACAGGAGTTATTTATACAAAATATCTACAAGTGAATTATTTTTTAGAATCTTTTCACTTCTATACAAAACGTTTTTCGTACATTTATATGCATACTTTATGCTGTTCTGCAAGATGCAAACATATAATTCATGATTTTTTATTTATATATTCACCGTAAAAATTTATACATATAATATTCTATGAATGTCCAGGAAAAAGTAACGAAGAAAGTAACTACTCATTACTTTTTGAGTAATGATAACGGTAACGAGTTACTTTTATAAGATAACGTTGCCAACTCTGCAAAATAATATCAGTGTTGCTTGATAAGTAAACCACTGATCAGAATTTGATCGAAATCATTCATAGAGGAACTTCAAAAAATCAAATTTAAATTAATTTAATTGCAATGATTAATTCAACCGATGGAACCATATATATATATTATATATGTATATATATTTATACATATACATATAGTTATTAATTATTCATTTATATATACATATATATATACATATATATACATATATATAAATTAAATGTATAGCATACAGGATGATCCACTTAACTTGAAAACCTTGAATATTTTACTTATTTTTGACAATATGAAAAAATGTTTCAGATAAAAATGGGACGATTTTGAGGGGGACGTATTTTAGTCACATTGTTTTTTTTCTAGGTGGAGGCGCCATAATAGATGTGAAGGTCATCTCCACTTTTTTACATATAATCATACAATTTTTTTTACATAATTTAATTCCTCCAATTATTATTCTGCATGTGAAAGTATTAAGGTAGAGGTATTGAAAAACCAATAGTTTACGAGATATTTTATCAATAAAATAAATTAAATGGTAATTATTTAGAATAGGAGACCCCGCGGGCCCCGATGACCTTTTAATATATTGTTTAGGTTATGACCCTGAGTGATCTCCAACAGGTTTTAACCGTCGCTCGTTATTCATTAAAAAGTTATTAACAATCAAAGTTAATAATTATTTTCCCGCTTTGCATAAAAAGTGGATGACTCTAAACAGGGGAGGAGATATGGGGTGGACCGACTAGGAGTAATCAACTTTCCCGCGAAAGCGAGTCCACGCCACCTTCCTCCTTAGAGCGATCAAATTTCCCCTAATAAAGTAACGATAAAAGTAACAAGTCAAATCGTTACCGTTATTCAAAGAATATAATTATATTACCATTAACGTTATTCATAAAAAAAAAGAAAATGTAACATCCCCTGGTAGCAAGCTAACGTCAAATAACGTCTTTTGACGGCAAAATGACGGCCTTTGACGTCAAAATGACGTCAAAATGACGTGTGTTGCTACCTGGGTCGTTACTCAGGCTGTGTTCCAAATTTACTGCCAACACTGAAAATGCTACAGTTTACGTCACGTGCACTATAGATTTTCAGTACCGGCAGTCAATTTTGGAACACAGTCTCATTCGTTATTGAAAAAATTATCGACAATTGTATAACGCGTTATACAATTTCCAATCCTGTTATTTTAATTGTTAATATGAATAGAATTATTAATATTTTATTACTAGAACTAATTAAGGTCCAGAATTTTAAATGAAATTTGAGAAAGAAAAGAAGATAGCCGTGATGAGCCAACACGGATATGGATGCGTAAAAAATTTTTTATAATTTATTGTTATCTAATATACATAACTTAGTAGACACGTTTCGATTACTTTTTTTGGTCTTCTTCAGTATAATATGATAATAACCGAATAAAGTTATATAGAAGTTATAGTAACGATGATCAAGTGAAATTGTGCAAATAAGAAATAAATGTTACAAGTAAAATTCATGCTATATAATTTATTTCGTCACGAAAAGCCATCAACAGTCATGAAGAACTGAATTTGATGATTAGCCATTAGAGCTGAAAGTTAAGCGGGGAGCACAGACTCTTGTATAACGCATAACACATAAGGCATAAGAAATTCAACCAATCATAGTTCTTTATTTCATGGAAAAGAAGAAAACAAAGGATTTTGACTGGTTTATTTTCTTATGCATTACGTGTTGTGTTATGCAAGAATCTATGCTCCCTGCTTTAGGTTCGAGATTTGAGATTGGGGAAGAGATTTGAAACTTGAGACGTAACTATGAATTCAGGCCCAGCCTCTGTATTCTATACTACTCGTTATATAGTCGTTATGAGCATATAACGGTTGCATAACCGATAATAAGAATATAAGGTACTCCATTGCGCATAATGACGGTAGACTAAATCAGAACCACCAATCAAATGCTTGCCCAAAATTAGTGGAATGCACATGGTAGCAATCAGATTCCTTTTTACATTTTCGAGCAACGTTTTGATGATCAAAGAGTAAGTCGCCATATTCAAGACGACTGCGCATCCTTGAAAATGGAATACCTTATATTATTACTACGTCTGTCTTATGACTGCAGGTCTGACATAACGAATTACAAAATTCCGCTGAGAGTCTATATAATCGAAGTTTAGATTACTGCAGCTATGTCAAACATTTGTACATACATACTTTAGAACATATACTACTGGAAGCGGAATTGCCATCCATATATCAAACGTGAAGCCAACATCTATGTGAGAGAAAGCTAGAGAGTCCCAAAATGTTCGCAATGTGCATGTGTCAGTATTGTCATCTGTGTAATGTAAATTGTACAGTTGTTTAGTGTCTTATATATTGTTAAGGCCACACACAAAGGCCATAGGCCACACACAAAGATCGGTATTCATAGTCAGATCTTATTAGAGCGTCTTAAGTACAATCTTAAGAAGTCACGAACCAATCAGAGGGCTGTATTACCCCGGATATACAATAGAGTTTTAAGTCTTAAGCCTTAATAAGAAATGGGCGAATCACAGTTAATTATTCTCCTCGGATTCGACTGTAATTGGTCAATTTCTTACGGCTTAAGTCTTAAAACACCTATTGTAGATCCGGACTTAAGGCCCTGGCACACAAAAAACTTAAGGCAGTAAAATGTAAGCAGTAAGGAAATCAACATGTTGGATTCGCTACTGCTTATGTTATGGCCTTACGGACTCTACTGTGATTGGTCAATTCGCTTACTGCTTACGTTTTATTGCTTAAGTTTTTTTGTGTGCTATGGCCCTTACCGTCTTAAGGCATTAACACTTAAGACAGTCTTGAAATAAGAACGGATTAGAAATACCACTCAAAATGACATAAGCTGCATAACCACAGCATAAAGCCGCTGGACCAATGACCTCTGTGTCACAGCACGCTTAATCGAGTTTAATAACATCCGTAGTTATGAAATTGGCCAATCATAGCTGTTCCTCGGAAGAATGGAACTGTGATTGGCCAGTTTCATAACTACGAATATTATTAAATCCGATTAAGGCTGCCGTGTGAATGTACCTCTAGTCAGAATGCAAGAACCAACCAACTGCAGTCGAGCATTCCCGTCATTCGACTGTAACAGGGGAATGCTCGACTGTAGTTGGTTGGTTCTTGCATTCTGACCCGATTCGAACCCTCAGTAGAAACTAGGCAAACGGAATTACATAAAATATTTCATACATTAACTTAAGTGTAAGAAACCAAATGAATAATAATACTGAAAATGGGTCAATTAATATAGATTTCACACAATATGAAATTCAGTAATATTTCATCATTATTCATTACAATTTAGGAAAAAATTTCCATCAGGAATGTGACAAGAAAAAGGTCAAATTTTGTGGGAAACAGTGTTATTAAAGATTACAAATATCTACTGGAAATATGTATATTCAGTTGTTGCAATAACTGATGGTCACCATCACTAATAAACATTAATATGTACACTTTACTATTATTAGCTAATGAGAATAAAATTAATGTTATTAGAAATATAATTTAAGTCGGAAAAAGCTTGTAATAAAATAATATATATATTACATATATTACATTTTAAAATAAATAATGACAATATACTTTTTATATTTCTAATTCCTATTTTATTAAACAATTAAGCTATTAATCTAACATTAAACATCATGGTTCTTTTTCATCGTGCAAAATATGTTTCTTTATCATGTGGTATACCATTCCTATTGTCAAGCAAGCTATTGCTGTTCCTTGGGCAGCAACTCGGAGTTGTATTAAATATAATTGTGTAGATATCTTTCTCTTCTTAAAACCATAAATACCATAGCCACAGATACCTGCTAAACTTATTAAACCTATTTAGAAAGCAATACATGCATTAGATATGAATGACAAATATTTACATTTTAGGTATATGCTTTAAAAAAGGTCACATACTTGCAATTAAAAATGGTGATTTTTGTCCTTTCGCTACCAATTTCTCTGATAAAGTTTGATCTATTATTGTGTCATTATCAGTAATAGCCATTTTTGAAAACGAATAGTGATAACTAATAACTGCTAACCTGAAAATTATGTGATTCATTCTGGATTAATTTGGTTATAAAAATTACATAGATAAAAAATTTTGTAAAGGTAAAAAAATTAATTTAAAAAAAAAAAAATTTATCTTACAGATAGTTCTGTCTATAAATTTGCCACTTTTGTTTAAATTTTTTAATATTGAATTAATAAAATGTAAAGATATAAATATAACACCGCAAATAATTCCTATCAGGGTAGAACATAATTTTGTCTGCATTACAACATAAGTGTTTCATAGTTTCGTTGATTATACAATTTAATTTTCTTTTTCTATTTCCTTTGAATTAAATTCAAATATCATTAAGTACCATTAAATTTAAATATCTTTCCAAGTATACATAATTTTACAAAATTTTATTAAAAAATAAAACAATTTCTAACATTTTTGTAGTTTCCATTACTACAGTAATCACGAGATGTGACTGTTGCTTTAATTACGCGTGCTCACAGTTGATTCAAAATTGTCACAATAATTAATCTTATTAATCAAATTTTATTTCTTATTTCTCTGAACATTTTAAAATTAAAAATTAATACACATTATATTCATAATAATTATCTGGTAATGAACAAACATAAATTCAGTAATTATTTAGAACACCCCTACCCACTTCAATTTTGATGAAATTAGGCTCATTCGATGCGGTTTTGCATGAAACCAAAGAATCTGACAGAAAAGTGTCGTTCTGCACCGCTCTGAACCGTCATATTAATCGTTAAAATTAACAACTATCTAGATTAGGAAATCTGTCACAGCCATGAAAAAGAAGAGGAACCTTCCTTTGATTACTCTGATATACTCTGTCCTCTGATAGCGCGATAGCGGAGAATTCCGTCCCTCTCCCGCTCCTTCCCCCTCTCCAAGCCACGGGCTAGAGGGAGGAGAGGAACTGACAATGAGAGGAGCTGAGAGGAACAGAATTCTCCGCAATCGCAAAGCTATGTCAATTACTATGTTCAGATTCCCCACCCGAATGATACCTAGATATCACTTCACGACACGCGGAGAACACCGTCCGCGGCCCGGGTGGGAATCCGAACACGCCTCAAAGTACATGTAGGTTCCCACGGAGACTATCACGGGATCCTTGATCCAAAATCTATGCATGGTATTGTAATCCTATGATTTGAATCGGAAAACCAGAAAGGGAATTAAGAAGAAGAAGAAAATACATGTATGTCACGTGTGAAGTGATGTAAAGGGCAGCGAAAGGTTCCCGCCCCGTTTCCCGCTTCCCCCGTAAAAACAGTTAATTTTTTTTTAAATTAAATCGCGCTTTGTGTGCCAAATTGAGAACTCATGAACGATGTTCCATCACGAGTTTACAACTTTTCACATATAGCAAGAACAGAAGATCTTTTTCATGGCTGTGACAGATTTCCTAACCTGAACAGTCATCAACTTTAACGATTAATATCTCGGGGCAGAGCGACACTTTTTTCTGTCAGATTCATTTATTTCACGAAAAAACGCGCCAATTGATATATTTTTTTATCCAACTTTGTGATTCTGTATGCTAAACTAAACAATTACCCAGATTACTTTGCACAGATCGACAGAGGATCAGACGTATGTATAATGTAATATTCTTATATTATATGGATATGGTTGAGTTCTCATAGGGGGGGTCTACAGCTGCGTCATAGAAATCGAGATCCGAGATTTCGGACAGAGAAAGAATTAAGCCTGATTTATAATGGCCGTAACCGTTAACTTATACCGGTGCCGGTAAAGTTCAACCATAGGATTTCAATGCTTTCGTTCATACTAATACGGCAAGTTAGAATGAACGAAAGCATTGAAATCCTATGATTGAACTTTACCGGCACCGGCATAAGTTAACGGTTACGGCCATTATAAATCAGGCTTAATTCTTTCTCTGCAACGACATATATAATATACCGTATATATGTCGTTGTTTCTCTGTCCGAAATCTCGGATCTTGATTTCTATGACGCAGCTGTAGACCCCCCCCCCTATGAGAACTCAACCATATCCATATATTTCAGGCATTATAAATCAGGCTTTAACAAATCACATTTGAACAATTTGGTTACATGACAAATACGATGGGTCAATTCTTTCTTTATTTGAAATCTCGGACGACTCGGACCGATTTCGTGTATACAAAGCTTAACCCCGGATCTACAATAGGTGTTTCAAGCCTTAAGCCGTAAGAAATTAACCAATTACAGCCGAATTCGAGGAGAATAATCGACTATGATTCGTCCATTTCTTATGGTTAAAGCTTAGAACTCTGTAGATCCGGACTAAAGCCTAGTGTTCACGCATAAAACTCTAAGGCCCAGTTTCACAACTCACGAGGTTTGTTCGCGTCGTAAGCTCCAACATGCTCCTACCATAGCTCCTACTCACTCTATTAAGCGCGTTGGAGTGAATAAAAGCTATGATAGGAGCATAATGGAACATGTTGGAGCATGCGACGCGAACAAACCTACGGTTAACTCTTAACCGAGGTTCAACTTATTCATTGTCTTTTTCCAATTCTAGAATTAGAAAGAGATGAGAAACAAGTTGAATCTCGGTTAAGAGTTAATCGTGAGTTGTGGAATTGGGCTTAAAGCCAAGACACAATGGGCGCGTTTAAGTTGACAAAGCGGCTAGCCTGCTCGCCAAGCAAATGAACATAATTGGTTGTTACTTATAGATCCAACCAATCATATTTGTTGAAATATTGTAATTCACATCAAGCCTGTTCACGATAGATGGCATGATAAACCTGAATAGATGGCACTATCTGATGATAGTCAGTTATTTCTATAGATTGAACATCGTTGTTGCTCGCCCCTTCTCGTGCGAACCATGATCATGGATGGATGGATGGATGTGTGATAATTGAAAATTGTAAGGCCTTGCAATAACGATGTAAAATCGGCACAGATAAGTTTATTACAGATAAGTTAATTAATAAGTTACTATTTTGAATGTAATGAATGTTTTTTAAAACTATTTATTCTATTCTATGTTCTGCGTTATTGATCTTTAATAATTGATAATTTGTGCTGAATCCTATTTATCAGTTTATATCATAATATAATTTTTCTCTTGTATCTGTTAAGATATAAAATTGCATTTATTGAAATCTAAAACGATTTATTAATTAGAAAATAAGTTCATAATTTTCAACAATATTCAATCGCTCGGTAAGCATGCCTAGCCGCTTTGCTATCTTGAACTCACCCAATGCGAGGGAATAACGATAGTGATAGGAATAACACGATTTCAACCTATCAGAAACTGTGTATTCCGATATATCCGATTTCTGATAGGTTGAAATCGTATTATTCCGATCGTTATTCCCTCGCATTGGCTACGTTCAGCAGAGAAAGCAGCTTTGCAACTGTTGTAAAATTCTGCAATATGATTGGTTTATACGTTTAGATCTATAAGGAATCAAAAGCAAGAATCAATCGTATTGAAGAATTTTACAACAGTTGCAAAGCTGCTTTCTTTGCTGAACGCAACCATTAATTACGTTTACACGGATCGATTTACGCCGAAGTTATAACATCGATGTTAGGAAACTGGCCAATCGCAGTCATTCCATTCTTCAGAGGAATAGCTATGATTGGCCAATTTCATAACATCGATGTTATAACTTCGGCGTAAATCGAGCCGTGTAAACATAGTCATTAGCTGCGTTCAGCAGACTCAACAGTTTTGCAACCGTTTTATGATTGTCTGCTGAGATAGGACCATTCTTCTAGATCTAAAAGTATGATCCAATTAGCGCGAAGGAAACTTCCAACAGTTGCAAAACAAACGTTCTGCTGAACGCAGCCATTGGCCGGTATTCATAGTCGGTTCTTATTTCAAAACCATCTTAAGTAATGTCTTAATACGCTAATGCGGCTCTCTGATTGGTTCATGACACCTCAAGGCTGAACTTAAGACGATCTTGAATATAAGAACTGAATACCGGCCATTGTGTCTTGGGCTTAAGCCTGATTTATAATGGCCGTAACCGTTAACTTGTGCCGGTGTCAGTAAAGTTCAATCATAAGATTTCAATGCTTTCGTTCATACTAACTTGCCGGATGCTGGTAACTTATGCTGTATCCGTAAAGTTAACTCAACTCTTTATTTTTAGTGGCAAGTGATCATGTAGAGATTAGTTAAAATTTACAAGTCTGTACTTGTGTGACACCACTAACAAGATAGCAGATAAATTGAATATTTCTGATTTATTTATGTCTATATAATTTAGGAATCGTTTGAAGAAATTTGGGGAAAAGCATTTAAACATTTGGGAAATAGTATTTTTCTTATAATTAACAAATTTTATCATGCATTTACACGCACTGGTAAAACCGTTTTATTATAATTAAAACCGGTGTTAGATGTCCTGTAAACGTCTCTTAATACAGATGTTATTAAAACCGTTTTAATAAATCCAAATCTCTTCTGAAACAGGTTTGGCATTACTAAACCGTTTTACGAAAGTCGTATAAACGGTCTTCAATCGGTTTAACGTATCAAAATTCGATATTACCAACTTTAGACGTTAAGGTGAAGAAATAACAAAGGATATTTTGTCTCAGGTTCCGTATCAGGTTATATAAAGCTACTTTATTTTTGACGGAAATAGAATACGCCTGATCGTGTAAACAGACACCAACACCGATTTTAACTTAAATTTTTTACTAAAACCGTTTTTACTAGTGCGTGTAAACGTAATCAATGGCTGCGTTCAGCAGACTCAACAGTTTTGCAACCGTTTTATGATTGTCTGCTGAGATAGGACCATTCTTCTAGATCTAAAAGTATGATCCAATTAGCGCGAAGGAAACTTCCAACAGTTGCAAAACAACCGTTCTGCTGAACACAGCCTATGTCTTAAGATGCTAATACGGCTCTCTGGGCAGAATCCATAGGTCCGGATCTACAATAGGTGTTTTAAACTTAGGCCGTAAGAAACTGACCAATTACAGTCGAATCCAAGGAGAATAATCGACTATGATTCGCCCATTTCTTATGGCTTAAGGCTGAAAACCCTATTGTAGATCCACGGTGCTCAAGATTTGAGATGGTCTTAAGTTAGTGCATGAACCAATCAGAGAGCCGTATTAGCATCATAAGACATTACTTGTGATTAAAGCGGGGAGCACAGACTCTTTCATAACGCATAACACGTAATGCATAAGAAAATGTACCAATCAAAGCTCTCCGTTTCCTTCCTTTCCATGAAATAAAGAATTCTGATTGATTGAATTTCTTATGCATTACATGTTATGCGTTATGCAAAAGTCTGTGCTCCCCGCTTAACTCCGGATCTACAATAGGTGTTTTAAGCCTTAAGTCGTAAGAAATTGACCAATTATAGTCGAATTTGAGGAGAATAATCGACTATGATTCGCCCATTTCTTATGACTTAGGGTGAAATCACATGGTGCGGAAAAAGACTGCGGAATAGAGAATGCG